CGCCTTCATTCTTCCTTTTTTCTCCCCCAAATTTTCCGGTAAAGCAATTTTATTTGTTGACGCTTTAACAGTGAAAGAAACTTTTGGTCAACAATACCAAAACCGTTGTTGACATCAACAAAAAGATGCGTTGGTTGGTGATTTTGGTGTTGGCATAACGCATGAGCGTTTACTCTCCAACAGTTATTTATGAACAAAAAAAAAAAATTCACTTGATGACAACAGTATTTCTAAGTAGGCTTCTCAGAAAAAAAAAAAAACAACAAAAATTTTTCCACAAGATTAGTTTAATTTGTATTTTCTGTCAAGAAGAAAAAAAAACACCTTTTTATTTTCCCTCCTTCACCAATATATCACTAAACTTTTATACAGTGACAATCTGTTATCAAAACAGTGAGTAGTTCTGTCTTTTTTGGCTTTTTTTTTTCTGTTCACAAAAAACCTCTATTTTTTCTCTCTTAATTAAATAAAAATTCAAATTCCAAAAGAAAAAAAGAAAAAAAAATAAAAGAAAAAGAAAAAAAGAAGCAATAAGAAGAAGAATAACAACAACGATAACAACAAAAAAAAAAATGACAGTAATTGTTGGTTGCTGTTATCGACGACGATAACAATCGTTTACTACACAATTCATCGTAATTAAATTTTCTGAAAACTATTTACACTTGACAGTTTTTTTTTCTTTCATTAAATTAATAGAGAGTAAAAGAGAAGAAATAAAGCTAAAACACAAATATCCATTCATTCTGTTCCCTCAACCTATAACTATATTTAAAAACCTAAACTTGCAATAGGATGAAGAAAAAACTGAAGATAAAGTAGACGAAAAAATACGATGAACATATCAGAAACAAATAAGATGAGGAAGCAGATGCTGCTGCTGCTACTACTGCTGCTGCTGCTGCTGTTGTTGTTGTTGATACTGTTGATGTCGATGATGATGACGATGGAGGTTGAACAGAAAAGAAAAACGGTGAAATATTTGCAAAAAAAATAAAAATAAAAAATAAAGTTTTTTTCCCCCCTCCCCCCATTAAATACAAAAGAAAAAAAAA